AGGTGAGAGATTTCAGCATGGAAACCTCAGATTCTCTTGCTCCCTCTTGAAAAGGAAGGACACAGGAATTCAATTCAGGAAAATCATAGGACACCTGTATCACACAGTAAGTACTATATTCTGAATCAGATTACCCAATGAGGAAAGGACAGAACTGAAGTACCTGCTCATACTGCTAGGATGTTGAACTGAAATGAGCTTTCAAATGGTGCTTAAAGAGTGGAAACATAAAGAAAATTAGAGAGGTGGAGAAAGGAATTGTCTTTTGAATACCAACTATGTGCTGGGCACTATCTTAGGCATTTTTTGCATGCTATTCAATTAATGTGGTATATTTAGTTTAGGTACAGTTTACTGATCACAAAACAACCAGCAAATGTCATGGATCACAGGTCTGACTTGTGGCAAGCCTGAGAAGGAAACTCATGTATCTGGGAAAATGAGATACAGATTGATGAGGTCTGTAGCATTTGAAGGTTTATTCAGCTTTAGAATGCTTCTGACAACCTGTTCATTCCTCCCCTTCCACCTTCCCCTCTCCTTCTCCTCCCCTCCTCTCTCTCTCCCCTTCTCCCTCCTCTCTCTCTCTCTCTCTCTCTCTCCCTCCCTCTCCCTCTCCCTCTCCCTCTCTCTCTCTCTCCCTTCTATTATCTTTCCCTGGGATGTAAGTTAGCAGTTATTTAGCTCCCATAACAAAGTATGAGGTCATAAATGAAGGCATACAGTAATTTAAAATGATCGAAATATCATTTAGCTTGATAGCGACAGCAAACCATAGAGAGTATAACCCAGTGCACTGCTTCTTATTCACAATTACTCAAAGTTGTTTTTCCCCCCTCTCTTTGCTAATGGAGTTTTCCTTTTTAAGAGATAAGTCAAAGTGTAACCTTAATTTTGGTAAAATTTCCAAAGGTAATCGGAAACTTTTCTTTTTAAAATCTAAATGAAATATAAAACAACCAAGCCAATGTGCGTGTGGCTTTAAGTAATCTGTTGAAACAGTAAAATTCAAATGCCGAAGTCAGACAGCTTGCAACAACATAATACATTTGTTTATTTAGTTAATATTACAATGGTAACAGGTGAAGAGCACTAGATTTGTATCCTCTTAAGAGGTTAATAATCAAGATTGTGATTTGTAAATTTCACTGTAACCATTAAAAAGCTATTTTCCAAAGGAGTAATAACATATTATTATTAAGGGACAAAACTAAACTTTCTGATTTATGACCAAAAGCATATTTTGGTTCATTAGTTTAAACTACACATTAGAAACATTTTAACTCTTAGTTACTGCTTTCAGGAAAGCACAATGTTCTTGAAGCAAATATACACAAACATCTTTTTCCATAGTGATTTCAACCATTGTGAGAGAACCTGAGAGCCCCAGATTGACTATCTCCCATTGTTATACACTCTGGCTCACTTAAGCAATCAACCAACAGAAAATGTAGTTAGTGCCTACTATGTACAAGCCAGCATAATGGAGCAATACTGGAAATACGAAGAAGTAAAATTATTGGTCCTTTGCCCTGCTCAGGTTTCCAATGTAGTTGGTAAGATTAAACATAGACGCAAGTTACTCTACTTTCAATGTCTTCAAAAGAATGATGATATGAACTAGATTCTATGTTAGAATCACCTATGCTGGACACTAGAGGAAGCAGAGACATAAGCAGGGACATCCTCAGCACTGAGTAAAGTCTGTCTGAAACAAGTTTTTCAGATCCAGGTTTGAGTGCTGCTTGAATCCCCCTTATCTGAAAGCATTTTGACCAGCCTCATACCTGTCACTGTTAGTGGCTATATTTGGGAAATGTTTCATGGACTCATGACAATGGAGCAATATAAACAAACATATATAACATGTGAATATGTATTATATATTCAAATCATATATAGGGTGAAGTTGAAAGCTAGGAGTTCAGGGCTTCCCACTCTGCAGTAGAGGGGGCTAACTCATAATTATAAGACAAGCAAAAATAGAAAGCCTAGAGGAAAGAATAAGAACAGAGAATCCAGGAATAAGAAGAGCTTTTGGGAGGGCCTTGGGGAGAGAGCACCCCCGCATCCCAAGTGTGGTGGGCGGAGGAGCCTTGGGCTAGGCAAGTAGAGGAAAGGAAAGCAGAGACACGTTTTCAAACAGTACAAATAAATAAATAAATATGTTAACCAAGAAAATAACTTATTAGGCACCACCGCTTGAAATGCAGCAACCCTCAAGTGTCCGACAGGCCCTCTCTCTAGCCTGCAGGTGACAGCAACGCAGTCGGGATTGGCCAAGGCTCTGAAGGCACCACCTGAAGTCCCAGTCCCGTGCCTGGTCTTCGAGATAAACCGGAGCAGGAAACTGAGTCTGTTGTTACTCTTAGATATGCACCTTCAGAAGCTTGGGTGAGGGAGAAACAGTATAGCTGCAGCCACGCTCCGGGAAGGCCCCCTGGGAAAGTGCGCCGTGTCCCGCGTGGCCTAAAGCAGACCAGCATTCCGGGAGTGATGGTCTTTGAAACCAAAAACGACGGCTGTGCGCCGGACTGGAGGGCAGCTTCCATTACAACCCCCCAAACCCCAGAATCTTCAAAGAACCCTCTCGGTCCTTGTTCTCAGCTCCTTTTTGCTCCAAAGGGGGGTTTGGATGGGGACTGCAGAATGCCTAAGGTTCGAAGCGCGGGACCAATTTTACTAAGCACCTGGCTCCGCTCTGGGTGGAGTGGGAGTGGTTGAGGGGCTCGGAGAAGGACACATCCTCCTCTGATAGTAAGAGAAAAGACCAGCTGCCCAGTTCATTCTAAAGTCGTACTTCCCTTGAAGTAGGGATTTGTAAAGGGAGAGCGGTAGTTCTCGAGACTCCGCTAGAGGCACCAGGCAGAATCTGGCGAGCAGAGGGACGCGGCGGGGCGGGGCTGAGGGCCAGCTGGGGACTCGCCCCGAAGAAAACTCGTGGCGATAACCGTGGCTCAGCTTAAATAAACAGAAATAACGGCCGGCGCAGCTGAGGGTCAGGCCGAGTTGGCAACGTTAATGAGTTCAGTATCTGCACCAGCAGGAGGGGCGGAAGGATAGATCGAATTACAGAGTGGGGAACACAGAGGGGTGCAGAAGTACAAGCGCAGTGGAGGGAGGAGTGAAAGTAAGAGACAGGAGAAAGAGGTCCGAAAACCTTCCTAGTTTATAAGCAAAACTTGCCCAATTCCACCTTTGTCGCGCACTTTCTCCGGGGCTCCACGCGAAGCTCCCTGTATCCTAGCCCCACTTTGCCCCACTGCACCCCGACCCCCACGATAATTTCACCTCTCGTACTCAGACTCCCTTTCTCCTTATCTTCCCCAACCCTTTGCGCGGGGCTCCTGAGTGGTCCCGGCTCAGAGAGTCGTGAGCCGGGACGTGCAGGTGCCGTTACGGAAGACGCCACCGGACTCCAGGTTCTCGGGTTGAAAGTCCTCCACGCTATAGGCGCGGCTCTTGAGGGCGGTGGCGTAGTAGTCGACCGGCTCTTCCGCGGCGTTGTCCATCCAGCTGAGGCACAGGATGCGCTGGAAAGAGCGCTTGAAGTTGTCCGAAAGGAAGCCATAGAGAATGGGGTTGGCGCAGCTGTTGGCGTAGCCGAGGATGACCGACAGCTGGCTCACCGTGGCGTCGTCCTGCTCTGCAAACACATTTACCAGCTGCACTACATAAAAAGGCATCCAGCAGATGACAAATACCATCACCACCATCATCACCATTAGGGTGATCTTGCGCTCTGAGCGCTTGCGCTGCTGCCAACCGGCCTTGAGGGCTACCATGCGCATTTTCGCGATGATGAGCACGTAGCACAAGCAGATGGCCCCGACGGGCAGCAGAAAACCCATAAGAAATGTGTACAACACGAAGCCCACCAGCCAGCGCTGGGCGGGCTCGGGCATGAGCATGTTGCAGGCCACCGTGCCGTCACTGTTGGCTGCAGTGCGCGAGAAGACCACGATGGGCAGAATGACGAGCAAGGACAACACCCACACCCCCAGATTCACCACCTTGGCCACGGTGGGCCGGCGGTAGCGTGCTGCCTTGATGGGGTGCACCACCGCCACGTATCGGTCGACGCTAAGCACAGTCAGACAGTAGATGCTGGTGAACATGTTGACTGCGTCCACACTGAGCACGAGGCGGCAGAGCAGCGCCCCGAAGGGCCAGTGGCGAAGCAACGTGGAGGTGACTAAGAAGGGCACACTAAGCATGAGCAGCTCGTCGGCAATGGCCAGGTTGAGGATGTAGATGTTGGTGGCCGTCTTCATCTTGGCGTAGCGCAAGATCACGTAGATGACCATGGAGTTCCCACACAGCCCCACTAGGCACACCACGGAGTAGATGAAAGAGATGAGGATGGCGCTGCCCTGGCCCTCGCTCAAGGTCCCATTCTGGGACGCATTTCGCCCCGGCTCCTCCATGCCGTCCGCGGCGCTGGCCCCTGGGCCCCTGCTGCCGCCGCCTTCGCCACAGCTGCCCGGGCTGGGGCTAGGAGAGGAGGGAGAGGAGGCGGTGCCATTGGCGAACATCTTGGCTGGTGGGGCTGCCGGGGCTGGGGCGCTCTCTTCGCACCCCCGCCGCTTGCGCCCTCACTCTGCACCCTGGCCGCCTGCCCACAGCTCACTGTCGCCGAGCGCCCAGGAGTAGCGCACAGCTTCTGCGGGTAGCCGCGGCGGGGCGCATAGCCCAACCGCTGCCTGCGCGAAGCCGCTTGCAGCTCCGGGGCGCCTGGGCACAAGTGAGCGTGGAGAGGGGAGGCCGAGAGGCTGGAGCCCCGCGCCGCACAGCCATTAACTGGCGCGGCTCTGAGCTGGTGAATGATTAATAGGCACCACCAGCGCGTCAGCAGCTACGAAAAGGAAGGGGGTGGGGGAGAAAAAGAGGAAGGCAGGCAATACAGGAGGAGGCTTATCACCCCTCGCCCCCTTTTTCTTTTCCCTTCCCAGTCCTGCGCTCCAGTCAACTCGAGCAGCTGCTTCCGGGGCTCTCCTGCAGCACCCTTTACCAATCCCTCGGGCGGATCTGGGGAGTTTCTCCGCCTTCCTGGAGGATGGGTGGAAACTAAAGGTGTAGATTCTGTCCCATTCCGCCCAGATTCTGTCCCATACATACATTCAGTTACCATAGGCAAAGACTGAAGCCGACCCCAGGCATAGATGTCTGGAGTTCATTCTCAGTTTCCCTCTGCTGCTACTCACCCGAGGGACCTCAACTCCACTTCGGTCCAACCCTCCAGAGCCCTAAACCCCCACCTCCCGACTCTGCTTGCCCTGCTTCTCAGACCCGCCGCGGAAGCTCCCGGTCTTACTTACCTAGGGCGCACTACCTCCAGACCCACGCGTAGGTGGCCCGTGCAAAGTGCCTGTGCAGCCTGGTAGCGCAGTGACGTTTTTTTGCGCGTTCCAACTCCTTTCTTTGGGCCGGACCCCAGCACAGGCTCCCACACAGATACTCTTGTAGTCACGGAAACTGACCCTAAGCCGCGAGCCTTAGAAGGAAGAGGGGCTTCTGCGTTACATCACCGCAGGCAGCTCTTCGCAGGCGGGAGTGTTCAGGGGCCTGGGTAAACCACTGCGAAATCTTATTAAAGCTTGTAGTGCCCAGAGCCCCCTACGTCTCCCTGAGGAATATCGACTACAGAAAGGAGGATGTGCGGCTGGCAGCACGGAAGGAGCCTGAGGCTCCCTCCCGAATGTGCCAGGCACCGTATTGGAAATCCATCTAGGTGTTCACTGGGGAAAGATACGGCTGCGCCGCTAGGAAAGGCTCCGCCCGCGTCCCTGCTGTACTTTGTACCCGGGAGAGTTGGCGGACCCTGGAGGAGGAGAGTGTAAAGGCCTGGGCTAGCCGGGATGCCAGCTCTTCTAAGCCCACGCTGGGCCAACGATGCAAGTGATCAGACCTGTAATCAACTTCAGGAATAGCAGAGTGACTTCGAGTCTTTCCATGAAACACTAGGATTTCAGCCTTTTCTGGAGCCCGTGGACGTGAGACTCATCTCTAATTTACGTGCCTAAACCTTTAAGACACAGAAATCGATGTAAGCAAGTCTAAAGCTCACTTGGGAATTGGATGGTTTCTGTGTAAAAACAACAACAACAACAAAAAAAACATACATTCAGTTACCATGATTTTTAACGACCTCTGGAACTTTCCACCAGCCCTAGTCTAGGCTCCCTTAGCTTTCCAATTATTCCAGTCCAAGAAAGAATCACTAACTCCCCTATTCAGTTTCAAGATCCATTCAATTCTTTATCCGAAAGGTTCTTGGGAAGACTGACCAGCAGCAGCCTAGTGCTGGGCCTTTTTCAAGCCTTCAGCTTTGTCTCCAGTTTCTTGTTAGTTCCTTCTTCCTCTGAACCGGTGGTACCCACTGTGCTGAGTCTCAGCTTTCCCTCCCATCAGTTTACACAAAGGAGACGAAAACTTAAACAGAAACTAAACTCCTCATGGAGGCTATTTGTACCAGACGGTTTGGAATGCAGAAATGGATGCAGAAATTGAAAAAAAAAAAAAAAGTATAATTCCTATTGCTCCCCGTTTTATCTGGAAAATCGTTTCATAAATGTGTTTTAATTCTCAAAACTAAGTGCTCCTGCAAGGAAAAGGATAACTTTTGTAGCGTGTTGATAATAGCAATCAGAGATAAAAATAAATGATGACAGACTCTCATAGGAATATGTGCAATGGACACTGAATTATTAATGAGAAATATGTTAGGAAGGAATTTGAAACTTCATAACTCATTGCTTTATCTAAACAAATTTATCTAAAGTGGAATGTGGAATTGATAGTTAGTTGTATTTCATTTTCCTTAAAAAATACAGCACATATGGAGGGAAAAATGTTTATTGGGTTTTAAAAAATGTCACCCCTTCCAGAAGAGCTTTTTTTACTAGCCAAGCCTCATAATGGTTCAGATGCCTCTTTGCCAATCACTGACTAAAGACACACAGCTATTCCTCAGGGGCTGTCATTTCAACGGTCATCATATAGACACCCGGGGAGGGGGGATCGATCATGGTTTCTGTAGGGAGAGTGGGTGATGGGAGGCAGTAAAACACAACTCAGTTGTTTAGACTCACATATGTTCACTTTGCAGCTCATCTTAGGGATAAGTCCTCAATTTAGTGGTAGCCTAATAATCAAAAGAAGAAAACTTAAGACTTTAAATAAGCATGCTTTTTTGTTTCTGAAGTGGTTTCTAGGATGAATTATTTATCCATGAAAAGAGATTTACAATAAGATTCCACTTTACACCCAGCTGTAATATTTATTAAAGAAAAATAACAAATGTTGGTGAACATACGGAAATTAGAACTCTTATATGTTGTTGGTGGGAATAAAAAACAATGCAGCAGCTTTAGATGTTTGATGATTCCTTAAAAAGTTCAAAGTGGAATTGCTTTATGACCCAGCAATTCCACTCCTAGGTATTTATTCACCCAATTCAAAACAGGTGTTTGAACAAAAAAACTTGTACGTGAATGTTCATAGCAGCACTATTCATAATAGCCAAAAAGTTGAACAACCCAAATATCCATCAATTGATGAATGAGTAAACAAAATGTAGTAAATTATTCATTCACAAAAAAGAATGAGATACCAACATATACTACAACATAGATGAACCTTGAAAACATTTGCAAAGTGAAAGATGCCTGGACACATATTGCATGATATTACTTACATAAAATCTTCAGAACAGGCAAATCTGTAGAGACAAAGCAGATTAGAGGTTGGCAGGGGCTGAGCGGGGGAGGAAGTGAGGAATGACTGCTTAATTAGTATGGGGTTTCTTTTTCAGGTTATGAAAATATTCCAGAATTAGACAATGGCAGTGATTATACAACATTGTGAATGTACTAAAAACCACCAAATAGTACACTTTAAAAATGGTTAAAATTATGAATTTTATGTCATGCTAATTTTACTTCAATGCAAAGAGAGATTGAGATGGATATGAGCCATGCAGTGTCATCAAATTTTTTCGGTCCTGTATTTCTTAACATTGTATCTGTGAACTAATCCATGGGCAAACAAAACAATCAAGCAAAAGGCAACATTTCTGGGCTAAACAACATGTGATGGTGTTATAGCTGTTTTTAAATTATTTTAAGAGCAGGAGCCTAGTTAGTTATCTGCCTTCCTCTCAGACCTCAATTAATGTAAACATTTCCTAATAAATCAGGAATGCTAATGTAGGCATGGGATCGTTATAATGTGTAAGGAACATGGCCTGCCTATAAGTTAAACAACTTTCACATTTTGTTTAAAAACTTTTTTTTAAAAAAATCTAAATCTAATGAATCTAAAGCCTGGAAGAGCTTAGGATAAGCTTGTTTTCACCATTGCAGTTACTGGTCCTCCAGTCCACCCTTCTTTGGTTGCTATTTTTTCCTACGCCACTGTGATAGGAACATTTCTAGATATAAGAAACTAAAGATGACTTCCAAGAAGGGGAGAATAAAAAGTCTTAAATTAGAAAGGCAAATTCTTAACCAGACTGATTTTCTTCCCTCGTCTTAATTCTCTCCTGCAAGCTACACTCCCTTATGCTACCAGGTACCAGGTGCACACTTTAATTACCCTATGTATCACACAGTGTTGTGATTTTCTTGTGTTCTTATCTCTTCCTCCTTCTAAAACTGTAAGTTTGTTAAGAATAGGGGCTATATATTTTTTATTGTTATATCCCCAATGCCTAGTGCAGTACCTGGAAAATTACCCAACACTTATTTTAAAAAAAAATTTTCCAAGGCATCCCATGGATAATATCTTTTTTTTCTAACCCACAGATGTAGATGCAAAGGAAAAAAAATTGGGCCTCTTGCAAGAAAAACTTTCACATCAGTGTAATCCATCATCTGTAGTAATTCCTTACATTTAAATCATTCTGGATAATTTCTATTTGCATGTCCTATATCAAAAGTTTTCATGCTGATGACTCATCCATTGATCACTCTTGGTCTTAAATTTCTTGGCCAAGAAAGGGCTCTGGAAAAATGGGTAGTACGTACTTTAGTAGCTAATAATAGTTATTTACTAATATCGTGCAATGTGGAAGTCATTATATGTGGATGATTGTTTCTTTTTAATTGCACTCCTGAGTCTCAGTTGCTTTGGTGGAATAGTAATTATCAGGAGCTCAAACTCAGCATCTGTCAGAATTGTTATTAATGTGGTTTTTCCAGTTGGAGCCTATGGTGATCCTCAAATGATCTCTAATCCATGCCAGTGGTAAAAGGCTGGTTTGGCCAGGGATTAAAGGGAGCACTTCCTGGAACATGCTCTGCACGATATCATCAGAGTTGTGTTTACAAACACCTATCTGGACAGATGGGACCAAGCTAGCTATGAGAGGGGAGCACCACACAGCAATAGGCCCATAGCAGAAGTATGTGTCACTTAAGGACCATCTGCCACTAAGAAGTTAATATGACAGTCTAATAAGAAAGTGACCAGACTACAAAGGTGGGTAAAGGGATAAGGAACAATCCTGGAATTCATTTCCCCATCGCTTCACAGCAGCCTGGTAGCCTATGTTTAAATTCATCACCAATCTCAGCAAGCTCACCCTGGCGTGATGATTTTCCTATTGCCTCTTCTGTGAAACAGAATGACAGAGTCTTTTTTATGCTTTCAGAAAAGACACACAGTGCAACAACTCACATTTTTCCCCTGTGGATTCTCTACTACTGAATAATATTTCTAGAAACAGGAATTCAACACGTACAGGAAAGTATTCACTATTGTTAATGAATAAATAAAAGTAGAACAAAACTGGCCACACGTTATCTGTATTATTTTGAATAGTCCCTACCAGTAATACATTTTTCTGTAATGTTGTCTCTGTTAGTCAAGGATTGCCAAAAAAAATTTAGGGCATTTTTCTTTTTAGCAGAAACTAC